GCTTGGTGGTCTCCTGGTGTTCTACAAAACAATGTCAGTGGCTTTTCATCTCCTGGCTGCCTGATCAGTTTGATGGATGGCCGTATACTATCAGCACTTGGACATTTGCCTTGAGTGAGCTGGACTCGGTCTGCAAGCGGTTCTACTGAGGGTCGCATCATTAAAGCAGATGGAAAATTGTTATCGTCTGCCTGACTCTTCTGTTCCCAAAACAACTGAATACAGATTCGGCTCTCCCCTACAACGGCCTTGAGCTGTGGACTACATTCTTCCTGGTTGGATTATGCCGATTGATGCTCTAACCACCCCCGTCTGTGATCTGGTTCATGGAACAGGCTGAAGTCCGCACAGAATGAACAGTTAACATCCATTTTCTGGACTATGGCTGTGCTGGTTTTGGGGACTGGATTCTTCGGGCTCATTGTTTAGATATTCACACAAGCATACAACACTCATGGCTTCAGATACACGGCACCCCTAAACTCACTTACTCCTCTGGCTAATAAATCTGCTCTATGCAGAGGTTTTTTTAGTTATAAACACCATAGTGTGTCACATTGTTGATATAACATGATGTTTTTGTTTGTTTTCCTCATCTTCCCTTGTGTGGTTTTTAGTTTTTCTGTTAAGGGCAGCGCCTCCTCGTGATGTCTTCATGAAGATGATCCTGCTCTGTGCTGGGGTCTGTGGCTGCATGRCCCAGGGCACCTGTTCTCCCATGTTTGTTATGTTCTGTCTTCTTCTGAATGGGTGTTCTGAACTATAATTTCATTGTGCACTGTACGATGACAATAAAGATCTCTCTAGTCTCTAATCTAATCTAAAACAAACTCCTCCTGTGTGTGTTTTTCCAGCTGAACATCCTGGTKGATACAGGCAGCAGTAACTTCGCAGTAGCAGCAGCTCCACACCCATTTATTACTCACTATTTCAACACTAAACTGTGAGTAGCTTCCACACTTTGTGCAGCAAAATCCACACATTTTTGACAATTACATGAGAATGTCACGTTCCGCAGTTCAGCTGTTTGTGTTTTGTAAAAATCTAAGATTTCATTCTAAATGAATTACACTATTGCATTTGAACTTACTGAMTGACTTTTGCCATTAAAGCTTTAATCTGTTTTCTGTAGTAGTAATTTAACTCTGTAGTTTGTGACATTTATGTACCACCACTCATGCTTTAACTTCTTCCTCTCTGTTTAGTTCCAGTACCTACCAGTCAGTCGGTCGATCYGTAGCTGTCAGGTACACCCAAGGAAACTGGGAAGGAGAGCTGGGTATTGACGAAGTCTCCATCCCAAAGGGTCCAAACGGGYCCATCATCATCAACATCGCTGCCATCTTGTCATCTGACGGCTTCTTCCTTCCTGGAGTCAACTGGCAGGGTATCCTGGGACTGGCCTACCCTTCACTGGCACGGGTGAAACAATACAACTGAAAGATGTTGATTCTTTGTTTTGTGGGCAGATTCAGATTTCCTTTTTGTTTTTTAGGACAACTCTGACCTGTTCGAATACAGATTTAACCTGATTCCAATTTCTCTCAATAAACTATAGTACAGTTTGTTTAGCGTCTTACTGTTTAGAAACTACATATAAAATAATGTCCTGTTGGGTATTGTACCAAGGTACAGGAGAGCATTGCATTCACAAAGTAAAACAATTGACTCCGTATCTCGTAATTATGAGGAAAGAAGTGAAAAGGAGTATCTAGTATTTTGAGCAGGTACTGGATGTAACAATAGGAACTGTTGTTTTGAGTTTATGTTCCACCTGGATGTGTTAGTGTGTGATACTGAATGCATACCTAATTTCCCYCTGGGATCCATAAAGTATTTTTGAATTGAAATGAAATGAAATGAATTGAAATGCGGACCAGACCAAGCTGTATATACACCGCCTGGACAAAAAAACGTCTCCACCTGGATTTTTATTAAGGTCCATGATGTGGGGTTGCTGCAGTTGGTCAGGTCTAGGTTCAGGTCTAGGTTCAGCAACAGTTTGTGCTCAAAGAATGAGGTCAGCTGACCTGAATATACTGAACGAGCAGGTTATTCCATCAATGGATTGTTTCTTCTCTGATGGCACGGCCATGTTCCAAGATAACGCCAGGATTCATAGGGCTGGAATTGTGAAAGAGTGGTTCAGAGAGCATGAKACATCATTTTCACACATGGATTGGCTCCACAGAGTCCATTGAGAATYTTTGGGATGTGCTGGAGAAGGTCAGACTCTACCATCATCAATGAAAGATCTTGGTGGATGGAAATAAATCTTGTGACATTGCAGAAACTTATTGAAACTATGCCACAGTGAATGTGTGCTGTAATCAAAGCTAAAGGCGGTCCAACTAAATATTAGAGTGTGTGACCTTTTTTTTTTTTTCTGGTGAATGTAGTGTTTTTGTGCCAAGGCCCTGATGTGATATTTCACAGAAATACATGATGGTACTGACTTCATATGAGTCTGTATTTTTTATGTGTGGTTAAATGTTCATCTGTGCAGAAAGAGAACCAGGCAGCAAAACTCCAGTTACATTTAGTGAGAAGGACATTGATTTACAAAGATGATGTTAATCTTTATTACATCATGCACAAAAGCTAAATAAATTATTCTATGCACATAAAAAAAATATATATATATATTATGTTATCCTGTAAGCTCATGTTTTGCACAAAAGATTTAAAAAAAAAACCAGTGACCTATCAGGGAGGAAGACTGGGTATCGAATCAGGAAGAASAACAAAAGTGAGAACAAGGAAAAAATACGATTTACCTGAAATCACMTCTTATCTTCTTCACAACATTCTGCTCCTTTCTCACTTGTGTTTTTATATTTCTGCATAACCTTTCAATCAGATCTTATCAGAATGAAGTCTGTGTTTTACATGGCAACAGAAAAGGAAATAGATTCATTATAWATGGCTTTGCTTTTGCATGGCTTGTTTTTTTTTTCACACTCTTTAATTTTGTTGTTACAATTTGTTGTTACAATTTGAACTGTATTTGTTTCTAGACTTATTTTCTCCATTTAGGAATATTCTCTATATGTATGTGTAAAAGGTGACACATACATAAGCCAAGGTGTTCATTATGTTACTTTTCTTTTGCAAAACGAGTTAGTCCTGATAGGTTCAGGGTAATAAATCAAAACAGCTGCACTAAAGATCAAAAACTAGAAACGGAGGAGCAGATCTGCTCACACTGATGATCACTTTGTGTTGGTGGTGTCTCCTGAGCGATCAGGTTCAACGTGCCTGAGGTCTGTTTGTCATGTGTGACATAACGACACACACTGAACAAACAAAGGAGTGGATGCTGTTTAGTTAAGGGTCAGGACATGTTTTCATGCTAATWTCAATTACTTCTGAGTCAAACTTTGATTTGTTTAAACATCTTGTGACGTCAAAATCTGTGAAGTTTTTTTTTTATTTTGCAAATTAAACAAAACTAAATGTGAAGTAATTTTGTAATGGAAAGATTGAATTGAAAGCGTCAGTAGTCATTACTGAGTCTGCAGCAGATGTCTGCATGTCTGACATTTTTGAAGTGGGTTTTAACATCAACAGCTGGGGAAAAATACWGAATTCAGCTGGTGTGTTTACTGAATGTGTGCATTTCTGACTGAAATACGGTATTTTATGCCTCCGTTTATCAGTTTGCTACATGTTGGATTCATGGTAATATGTGTTTAAAAACATGACTTTGAAAAAGAAAACGACTGAACATTAATGTCCCGTCTTCCTGTCAGCCGGACTCTTCTGTGGAGCCTTTCTTCAACTCGGTGGTGACGCAGCTGGGAATTGCCAACGTGTTTTCCCTTCAGATGTGCGGCACAGGACCGTCGGCCAGCAGCACCATCGATCCTCCTGCTGGCAGCCTGGTGAGTGATCAGGACCGCTACAGAGACGTTTGATTAGCAAACAGAACAGAAAAGCTTTTCACATTGTGAAGAAGCTATGTTTCACATTTGAAGGCTTGGAAGATTTCTTCATTGGTTTTGTCTCAGTGATGATCAGAGTAAGTAGCCCAGTGCTTTAAAAAATAAATAAATAAACATAATAGCTGCTATCTGCCCTGTCAGTGTGTTTCTCCTTCGGAAGCCCAGTCTGGTTAGAGAGGAGCTAATTAAACTAAGATAGTATCCTGCTGAGAGCAGATCTGTCGCTGCTGTGTGGACGACCTTGGCGCCTTCATCATGTGACCCAGTGATGCAGACAGATGGATTAGATGGCAGGGCGCTTGTGTGTGTTTATGTTCTGTGATCTGCCAGATAGATAAACCTTTACTACAGCAAACCATGTTTTATTTCTCTTTCTCTTATTTTCTTTTGTAGATAATGGGAGGAGCTGAGCCGACACTGTATCGGGGGTCCGTGTGGTACACCCCTGTAGTACAGGAGTGGTATTACCAAGTGGAAGTGTTGAAGCTGGAGGTTGGAGACCAGAATCTGAATCTGGACTGTAGAGAAGTAAACAATATCACTCTTATCTAAACCTTGGCCCAACAGTTAATGATCATCCTTAAAGGGATCTCTGATTAGTTGTAACATTAGACTTTATTTGATAAACATATATTTTAACTGTAAAAGAAAGAGTGTAAAAATACTGTAGGATGTTTAGTTTTGTAAATTTTAAAAAACATATTTAACATAGACGGAGCCATTTTCTTTACACACAAAGCATTCTGGGTAAATGGTGACATGGATAGGTCCTCGGTGTGAGTGAGCTATATCCATCCTGAAGGTTAATCTTGGACAATATCTGACGATCGGCTCTTATAAATGAAACCAGACGCTATATTGCCTTATGTGTAGTAGCTTGGCGCTATCGTGACAAACAAACAAGGTAAACTGAGGTCCTCCATCCACATTTTCAGTTGAAGACTGAGTCATTTTTGCGTTCCCCTCTCATGTGGATGGTGGACCTCAGTGACGAGAGGAGAATGTGTAGCGCTGAGCTAATAGATATATATGGTGATAGCGTCGGGGCTAACACTAAAGCTAACAGGCTAAGCTGAGGTTCTTCTTCCATGAAGCAGCTCTGTTGTCCTCCATCTATATTTTCAGTTCCAGGCTGAGTCATTTCTACCTTCTCCTCTCTGTCAACGCTCTCTGGTTTTATTTAAAAGAGTCGATCATCAGATATTGTCCAAGATTAACCTTCAGGGTGGATATAGCTCACTCACACCGAGGACCTATCCATGTCACCATTTACCCAGAATGCTTTGTGTGTAAAGAAAATGGCTCCGTCTATGT